CGATGTCCACAAGTAGGTACAGGTAAAATCACCTTTCAATGCTATTTGATAGGGAAAGGTGATAAATTTACCTGCACCTGTGGACATCGGATTGTGAACAGGATATATAGAACAACTCAAAATAGGTCGCTTGCTTCCCGCACGAAAACGCCCACGACATGACACAACACACCGGACTATCATCCATGTATGCTAGCCAAATTTTATTCTGTAATCCAGTAAAACGTTATCCATCACCCTTTGGAAGATTGCTGGTGCGTTCTTTAAGACAAAGGGCATTCTGTTGAATTCGTAATGAGCATTTTCAGCATTAAATACTGTCTTGGAAATCGAATTTTCATGCATCTGGACTTGATGAAAGGCAGAGGTTAAATCTAGTATCATAAAATAATTACGACAACCAAGTCCAAGTCCAACCAAGTTTTTTCCACACACACCTTTCAGAGTCAATGTCAGATATTCAAATTACCTTATTTGACGTTGAAAAATCGCTCTCTGAACTCTACATTAATAAGAAAGAGGGCCCTGATGGAATCCCAAACAGAGGGTTAAAGCTTTACTCTCACTCCCTCTATCTCTCCCTTACATATTTTCGAAGTTCTTACCTCTGGAGTGTTTCCGAAAGTCTGGAAATTGTCATATGTTTGTCCCATCCACAAATCAGGGCGTAAAATTCATTCATCAATGACCTGGTTAATCTACTTTCCTCCAATTTTCTAATGTTCGCGGATGATTTGAAGATATTCCGGGAGGTATCATCAACTCATATAATATTTTTCTCCTGCAAAATGATCTGAATATTGTGTATGAGTTGTGTAGGCTGAAGGACATGTCACTTAATATTGAAAATGCTGCTTTATGCGCTATGCCCTTCACTCTTCTGAGAATTTCTATACCCGCGGACTATTCCATAAATATTCTTGCTTTTACTCAGGTATTTGTTGTAAAAGACTTTGGCCTTTACTTGGACACCAAACTTATATTCGTAGAGCACATCGAGTATATAATAGGTAGGGCTAATAGAATATTGGGTTTCATTAAAAGACACAGCAAGGACTTTAGTTATGTATTTGTTTCGAAGGTGTTGTATACGTCGCTGGTTCAATCCATTTTGGAATTTTCAAACATAGTTTGGTCAACATATTATCAGGTTCCTATACACAAACTTGAAAATGTTCAATTTAAATTTATAAAATATGCTAAATATACAATTATTTGCAATGGAATTGAACTTTATAATGATCAGACTATGTTATATCAGGATTGACAGGATTTAGCAACTCTTGTCTGCAGAAGAGAATACTACGATTCTTATGTTTCGAATTTAATGTCCTGAACCATTGTATCAAAAGTCCAGAAATTTTCGAAACACGCACCAAGGACTTGATGCATATACAGGGTGGTCCTTCGGGAATGACATCGATTGCTTATGGGAAAACTGTGAAAGGTAAAAATTTGAAAATTTGGCAACATAGCAATGTCGATGGGGGACATCTAGGTAAAATATTTTCAAGATGGCGGCATTTCCGGTCATACCGGAAGTTGATACCAACTCGGTTATTTTAAATAGAACACCCCATATATTAATGTATTTTTGGATTCTACATAAAATTCTGAGCAGATTTCATGTAATATACCCTATACCTAAGTTCAACTGTTTTGGAAATATTGACAGTTGAAAATTGACTTTTTGCAACTTTGACAAGCTGTAAAACCTAATTGGTTAATTTTAGAGGAAAACCGATTTCACATTCCTATCTTAGATTTTTATAAACTATCATTTGACATCAACTTTGAATTAAATCCATGATTAAAAATTTCAGTTAAATTTAATCTCCGTTTAAGTTCAAAGTTGGTGTCAAATGATAGTTTATAAAAATCTAAGATAGGAATGTAAATTCGGGTTTTCTCTAAAATTAACCGTTCAGGTTTTACAGCCTGTCAAAGTTGCAAAAAGTCAATTTTCAACTGTCAATATTTCCAAAACAGTTGAACTTAGGTATAGGGTATATTACATGAAATCTGCTCAGAATTTTATGTAGAATCCAAAAATACATTAATATATGGGGTGTTCTATTTAAAATAACCGAGTTGGTATCAACTTCCGGTATGACCGGAAATGCCGCCATCTTGAAAATATTTTACCTAGATGTCCCCCATCGACATTGCTATGTTGCCAAATTTTCAAATTTTTACCTTTCACAGTTTTCCCATAAGCAATCGATGTCATTCCCGGAGGACCACCCGGTATAGAGTAAAAATCAAACGAGAAGAAGCCACACGCGTTATCGTTTGTCTCACTTTAAATAGGAGAGACCCAGAGAAAAGAAAATCTGCCTTCTTTGTCAGCGATGACGTCAATGACTTTTTCTCGTTTGATTTTTACTCTACCAATTTGCCATTCTTGGTACTTACTTGTTGTTAAATGAATCCTTGTCCAATTCTATATTTCCGGCAGTTTTTAAAATGGCAAAAGTGGTTCCGTTATATAAAGGAAAAGGCTTAGTAGATGATCATACCAACTATTGTCCAATATCCCTTCTGCCAATTCTGTCCAAAGTATTTGAGCGCATTATGAGGAATCAAATAAGTGAGCATTTTGAAGCCAATAACATTTTTGCTGTAAGTCAGTTCGGATTTCAAAAGAATAAAACAACCAGTTTGGCAATTAATCATCTAACAAACAATATCTTGGGGGGGGGGGGTTTGAAAATTTCTTGGATACCTATGCCTCATTTTTGGATCTTACTAAGGCGTTCGATTGTGTAACACATAGTATTCTCTTAAAAAAACTAAACTACTATAATTTTCATAACAGTGCGGTATTGTTGGTAAAATCATACCTTTCAAACAGATTGCAATATGTGTCTATAAACCAGAATTGTTTATCTAAGCTGCCCCTGAAGTATGGAGTACCACAGGGTTCAGTACTGGGACCCATATTATTTCTTGTGTACATAAACGATCTTGCTTCTACCCAGGATACTGTTTTGTTTGCCAACGATACTACTTTTTATCAGAGCTATCATCCATCTGAAATACATAACCTGGGTCTTGGAAATACTGAGAGTAAACTAATGGAATGGTTCTTATCCAACAAACTATCCCTTAATGACTCCAAATCGCAGTCAATGAATTTCACGCTGAGAAACACACAAACTGACCACCCACTTTTAGCAGACTGTGTTTAGGAGGTTAAATTTCTTGGGGTTTATCTGGATCCGGGCCTGACTTGGGAAAATCATATAGTCCCATTTATCTAGGAAGTTGTCTAAATATCTGTTCTTGTTTCGTAATCTGGTGAAGGTCACCTCCAGGCAACCTGTTCTGATGGAATATCATGGATATTTTCACTCAAACTTGTCTTATGCCATTTTATTATGGGGTCATTCATGTCATATAGGCTTTTGGACATCAGCGTAAATGTGTTTGTACCATGTGGCTTGGGCTACAGAGATGATTGTCGCCAGTATTTTATGACTTTGAATATTTTCACTTTGCCATGTATTTATGTGTTGGAGTGTCTGTTGTATGTAAAGCAAAATGTCCATCTCTATAAATTACAGTAGATCAACATAATTATCCTACCAGAAACAACGACAAACTCGTTCCGGACTTTGGCTGACTTGGTAGAATTAGAAATAGCACCAGGTATCTTGTAATAAAATTTTTCAATTTATTACCATCAAATATAAAAATTCTCAGCATCAGCCAGTTCAAGGTGAGAGTAAAGACTTTTTTGATTAAAAGTGCTTTCTACTCATATGAGGAGTATTTTGCTTCTGATTTTAATATGTAACCATATGTTTTCTATTTTGTTATGTAACCATATTATGTTCTATTTTATTATTTGTTTAGATTTTTGAAGTTGTCATTTTAACATGTGTGCGAAGATGGATTATCCAATATTAAATGTTAGCTATTAGTGAAAGTTTAATAATAATAACTATAATTGTGAACGTATAAATATATTATATACTTGGGTGATGTTGAGAAATTTTGCGACATTCACCCTCACATTTACCTTAGAGTACTTTTGTCTTGACTTGTAAAAATGTGTATTATACATATGTTATTACCAATGAATTATCTAATTAAATGGGTGATTGGAAAAAGGATAAAATTGCAAAAATATGGCGAATTAAAGTGAGATAGCCATTTTATTCTAATTTCTCTTATCTTCCCGCTAAGCGCAAAAACGATAAAATCGCCGGCCCGCTTCATATCATAATTTGAATTGTGAGTGGAAAAAGGATAATATTCCTGAAATTGTATCATTCTTCCACGGATTAGAACTTCGCGCTATATCAGAGCATCGAGCATCTGAGTTTTTAAAATGTTGTTTTCTTCAATAAATATTTCTTCTTTATAAATGTCGACTTTTTCTTTTTTCTTGCATTTTGAGTAGAAAAAGGATAAAATTTTCATTTTGAGTGGAAAAACGATACAATTTTCGTACTTTCAAATACCAGTAGCTAGTTACCAGATAGGCATAAACCGGTGAAACTTTGGCATCAATTGTACTTTGTCAAAGTGCACAATTAGCCAATAGTAACGATATTTGTTAAATTACCGGCTTCGCCGCAAAAACGTTTTTTTTTTTTTGATTTCTCAAAAGTAAGGCTTACTGAAATTTTATCCTTCTTCCAATCACCCATTCAATTATTTAGTACATTTGGGTTTTAGACCATTCTAAACAAGAATCTGCTATCAGATTTTTCCTAAAAAAATCCCTAATAGTACTTATTGAAATTTGTGCCTATAAATGTGGACATCCTGTACATCCGTACAGCCGCGGAAATAAAATTATGATCCTAATAAGTGCCAAATTGGAATATATGTGATGTGTATAAGACAAAAAAAAAGATGAATTGAATCGGTTGAAAAATAAAAATTTTAGAAGGGTGGTCAGTCCTTATGTGGGACACGGACACACACTGTATATGTAAAATACTTTGTCAACAGAAATTTGATTGTCAATGAATTTCAATTTTTTTCAGGTCGTGGAGGTTATCGCAACAACGACAATGGAAACGACGACGATAACGGCGGCGGCTGGAAAAACAAAGATTCTGGTGACAGCTGGAACAACAAAGACTCTGGCGGCGGAGGCGGTGGTTGGGGCGATGGTAACGACACCGAAGACGGTGGTTTTGGCGGTGGCGACAGGGGCAGAGGAAGAGGCCGCGGAAGAGGCCGCGGCGGGTCTCGCGGGGGCAGAGACAACGACGGCGGACACGCCTGGGGCGAGAAAGCCGAAGGTGGGGAGGACGGCGAGCCCGAAAAACCCCGAGAAGTGTACGTACCAGTGGAGCGAGTCACCGACGACGACTTGTTCACCACCACGATAAGTTCTGGGGTGAATTTTACTAAATTGGACGAAATCCAAGTGGTAATAACTGGTGATAATGCGCCCGCGGCTATAAACTCTTTTGACGAATCTGGTCTAAGGCAACATTTGGTTGAAAATGTCAAAAAATCGAAGTACTTGAAGCCTACTCCGGTACAAAAACACGCCATTCCTATTATACTTGCAGGGAGAGATTTAATGGCCTGTGCACAAACTGGCTCTGGGAAAACTGCTGCCTTCCTCTTGCCGATGATCCACAAAATACTGGAAAGCCAAGAACCTCCGGTGAGAGAAGGCAACACTGCCATGCCCCAAGTGGTAGTAGTCAGTCCCACCAGGGAGTTAGCGGTGCAAATCTACGAACAAGCAAGGAAATTCTCTTTTAACAGCATCGTCAAAGTTGCAGTCGCTTATGGTGGTACTGCAGTGCATCACCAAAGGAAACAGATGATGGCCGGATGTCATATTTTGGTAGCCACTCCGGGAAGGTTGAACGATTTCGTCAAGCACGGCCATGTCGGGTTCTCTGCGGTGCAGTTCTTTGTACTGGACGAGGCGGATAGGATGCTGGACATGGGATTTTTGCCTACAATTGAAGAAATGTTGGGTCACGAAACTATGAAGGCTACGGTAAGGAACATGTGTTTTTTTCTAACCAATCACAGTGAGTTTCTCAGCTGCATAAATTTTTATTGGTTGATCTTACTAGATTTTTAAATGATTGAGAAACTAGTCTCTTAACCATTACTTTGGTTTGTATACAACTTTTGGTATAAATAAAATCTATTTTCAATTATTCAGGGTGAACGACAAACCCTAATGTTCTCGGCCACATTCCCAGAAGAAATTCAACATCTGGCCAGCAAATTTTTGCACAACTACGTTTTCGTAACAGTCGGAATCGTTGGAAGCGCCTCCACCGATGTTGAGCAAAACTTCTTCGAAGTTTCAAAGTTCGAAAAGCGTAACAAACTATTGGACATGCTCAGGAACAACACGGAGCGCACGATTGTGTTTGTTGAGACTAAAAGGAATGCTGATTTTTTGGCTACTTTGTTGTGCGAAAACGAAATGAGTTCGACTAGTATTCATGGAGACCGTTTGCAGAGTCAGCGAGAGGAGGCTCTGTGGGAATTTAAGAAAGGTAAGAAATATCAATTAAAAATTCAACAAAGAACAAAAAAAGTTACAATTTTTTTTCAATTTTGTAGGTATCCGTAACATTCTAGTAGCCACGGGAGTCGCTGCGAGAGGGCTGGACATTCAAGGAATAGAGCATGTCATCAACTATGACTTGCCGAAAAGCGTGGACGAATACGTCCACCGAATTGGCCGTACGGGTCGAGTCGGTAATCGCGGCAAAGCGACCAGTTTTTATGACTCAGCCCAAGATAGCGGCTTGGCGGGAGCGTTGGCCAATATTTTGAAACAGGCCGGACAAGAAGTGCCGTCCTTCTTGAGCAATAGCGGTGGCTACGGGGGTGGCGGGGAAGATAGTTTCGGTGGCCGAGATATCCGAGGGGTGAGTTACGATTTACCTTTTCATTATTCTTGAATTTTTGGAACAATAATAATTATTATTGTTCTGGCTAATAATTATCGTTGCTGAAAACTACTCACTAAAATTATTAATTACATTTTTGCGATTGGAAGATTGAAAAGGGGTTCCCTTTTGATATGGGAACAACCTTTAGTAATTTTTGACAATAAGGCCCCTTTTGACTAAGGTTACCTTGTTGTCACTAGATATATTCACAGTGCTCTGTTAGAGGTGACAACTGAATAATTATTCAACAAAAATCAAAACTCTATGGTTGTTTTTTATTTTATTATATTTTATGTGTTTGTTTTTTCAGGATGACTTTGGACAAGCCGACAACTTCAAGCAACAGTCGGCTCCGGCAGACGACGACGGTTGGTAGTGCTTGGCTGCAACCAATTTTTATATTAATATTTAGGGTAGGTATGTTTAAAAACGCCGACAGAATTTATTTTTAGTTTCTTTTTTTTTCAATGAAAAATGTTTATTTTTGTATCCTTTTCATATACTAGAGTAATCTCGTTAAGGCCTGGTATTTTCACTTGCAGAATTATTTTCTATTTTTGTTGTAACAACGGATAAGATTTCTATATGGGATAGCAGGAAATTGGAAATTTTACCCTTACGATTTTGCCCAAAATCTTTGTCAAGAATTTGAAATTCGTATACAGAGTGGTTCCAAAATTGTTCATGGGACGGTTTTTGACGTGTTAAAACAAAGCTTGATAGAAACTGTTCGTAATTTTTCAATGGTAAAACTTTCTTTATCTCAACTAAAAAAATATCTGTTATATAACTTTATATGAAATTGCCAATAATAAGTATTATTTTCTAAATTTCAAATGCCAAATAATGGAAATTTTTAATAAAATGAAAATCCTGGGCCTAATATTTCATCATAAAAATTAAAACCTTAATTTTTACCTTTTTATTACTACTCGCACTTTTACTCACATTCCAATGCGAATGCTCCGATTCTCATTTTCCCTTGTTAATTTGTTGACATTCTCGATAAAAGAAATACTGTTAAGTTTTGTACCATATAACCCATGTCTGTGATACTCGCTGTAATTTCTAATGATAATTTTAAGGCGAGCTGATACTATAAATTGCGTTATATGGTTATTATTCCGTTTGAAATAAGGTGAATTATGTGTTTTGCTCAAGAATTTATATGAACAAAAAGTTTTGTAATTAAGGATCGCTTTCATAATTAGCTTGAACTTGAACCATTGATTGGTTTTTTTCAAAAAATTAAATGATTTGAAGTCTTAACTTGCCACAATAATAATTATGAAAGTTTTTCTTTTTTTTTGGTCGCTTCTGACTAATTTGGTAAATTGTGAAACTAGATTATGATCAGTAAAGTATGTATTTTTTGGTTTATTTTCAATAATTCGTTTTATTTTTCCTTACACTCACCTTTTAGGTGAACTAAATTTAAAGAAGGTACTTTTTTATTGGTAAAAGAGACAGAGAGGTAAGAACAATGAAGTAACTCTATAAGGTTTGGGGTAAAATATGATTAAATTGCATAAAAGAACGGTTAGAAAACCCCTTCAAAATTTTCAAATCTGTCCTCACATATTTTTTCAAAAAATCGAAAAAATATTTGGAGAAAAACCGAAATTTCATAAGTTTGGTAAGTAAATGTGACTTAGGTCCAATTTAGGGCGGGTATTGTGAAACTATTTCTACAGATAACTGAAAGTTAATTACTGGAATTACTATGAGAAATAACGTCATTCTAGAAGTGACCCTTTGGTTATTCTATACTGTCAAAATAGGTACTGACATCAATAAACAACTTAAATTTGAATCTTCAGATAAACTTGCTGGCAACTATCTGAAAGATAAATTTACCGTTCTACAATTCTATTGGTCGACAGATAACTGGCCGACCAATGGGATTGCAGAATGTAATTCTATCCATCAGATTCCATACCTCACAGTTTATCAGAAGATGAATAAACCGACGCTAAATTGCTTATAAAAACTGTCAAATCTGCCCCTACTTTCTCTTAACATTTTTTGGAAAAATCGAAAAAAGCCTTTAAAAAAATGCTATAAAAAATATTCTATTTTCACTTCAATTTATAATGAAACTTGGGGCAAGTAAAAATGTGATTAAGGTCCGGTTTATTCATCTTCAAATAAACTTGCTGAAAACTATCTGCGAGATAAATTAACCGTTCCATAAAGCCTAGTACTCATAACTGCGAAATTCGCGTTTTTTTGACATTGCTTCGACAATTTGACGTTTGATACACGCATAAAACGTCAAATTGTCAACGCAATGTCAGAAAAATGCGAATTTCGCAGTTATGAGTACTAGGCTTTATTCTATTGGTCAACAAATAAGTGGCCGAAGAATGGGACTACAGATTGCGTTTTTATCCGCCGGATTTCATACCTGAGAATTTATCAGAATGTGAATAAACCGGCCCTAAATCCCAAAAAAACCTTTTAAATCTGCCCTTACTTTCCCTTATTATTTTTGGAGAAATCGAAAAAAGTCTTTAGAAATTTTTAAAAATTCGAAGTGTTTGTTGCACCCAATAGTTGTATTCATTTCAAGAGTTTGAAACACTCGAGCTACTCGCAAAGTGTGTTTAGTAGCCCTCGATTTGCAGGGAACAGATGCGTGGTGCAACAAACACTTTTCGAAAGGAATAAGCGCATGAAGCCCCGGAGCTCCTCCTAGATGTCAAAGGAATACAACTAATAATGAACTGTCGCACCACCCACTGGCACCCACACATCTATTTCTTTCAAATCGGGGACGACTAACACCGGACTCGCCGGAGCGAGTAGCTCGAGTGTTCTAAACTCGGAAAGGAATACAACTATTTATTCGTGCTATACTATTTGCACTAACTACGCCGGCTGTACGAACTGCACTGATTCTAAAATACAGTAACTGCACTGACTCTGCTTTTTAATTTTAGGGACCCAGACCGGAACAATATTAAACCAAAAACCGGAACGGAACCTTTTTTTTTTCTTTGTGCACCGAAACCCATATTTCATAGACATGGTGTAAGTTGTAAAGCCTAGTACTCATAACTGCGAAATTATCATTTTTTTGACATTGCGTTGACAATTTGACGTTTGATACACGCATAAAACGTCAGATTGTCAACGCATTGTTAAAAAAATGCGAATTTCGCAGTTATGAGTACTAGGCTTAAGGCAGAGCGTGTAACAAATTCTACCCTTTCCCCCCACGTTAAATCACCAGAGGCGAGTTCAGGAATTACACACTCAGTGTGAGTGTGACAGTGTGACACCGGTGCGACGCACTAGCCGTTCATAAATGCTATAGGCACACCGAGTGCGCGCACTCTGTGCCGTTCAGAAAGTACTTTGTGCGCGCCCCAGGTGTCGCACCGGTCACACCATAATTTTTTGGTGTGGCTGCGGTGTGTTGTGTCTTTATGTCAACAATGTCAACCATTCCTCCCATAATCAACAACAAAAAAAAGTAATCCTAATAGATTTTGTGAAATTTTTGAGGAGATGCTCGATTGGTCACACCAAGCGTTCAGAAATTCATACGAAAGTTGTCGCCTAAGAATTGTCATTTCAATCACACCCATAAAATCGCACTCACACCCGGTGTGTTATTTCTGAACTCGCCCCAGGGTTGCGTTTAGAAATAGCACTCTGGGTGTGAGAGTGACCCTAGAGTAACTCTAAACAGTTCATAAATTAACAGGTGCTTAGTGGGAGCGTTACGCTGGAATCGTTCAGAAATCGAGTTGACGTGCCCAGAGTGCGCCCAAATTACCCCACTCAGAAACTAGGTTGAAAAACGCGCCGCGGTTTTTACCGGGTTTGACGTTGACATTTAGCGCAACACCCCAATTACGTTCAGAAAAGGCGCACCCAGAGTGCACTCCAAGTGATGACGTCAGAACACCCTGACAAACAACTAGTCTACCTTCACACTCCATTTTTAAACGCACTCCAGTTGTGATGTAGGCAGCATGTTATTTCTCGCCTTGACTTATGCTGTTCAAGCAGCTGACAACTTAGTTATGACCTCAGAAATAGTGACACACCAATATAGCGACAATAAGGAATTTTCATATATTTTTTTTTTTAGATACTTCTAGTGATTAGATATCACATAGTCTTCTTTTTTCCATTTTAAATTATACGTTGTACGAAAAAAAAATGATTGAAATTCAAATCAAAAACTTTGGCGCGAAAACGAGAATTTTCAATATGACAGCGGTCATGACGTCCAGATTTTGTAAACAACAAACGCAGCAAACGAACTTCAGTGCTATTTTTGTGTTATTCAAGTGTATTAAAGTTTGCTTTTTGTGAAAATTGTGGCAATGGATGAAGAATATTGTAAAGGACTGCTTTCGTAAATTTTATTTTACTTGCAAGTTCCCTATTGACAGGTTTGTTTACAAAATCGTGACGTCAAAATAGGTAGCCATCATGAGCTGGGTTCGGCTATTCAGCGCGGAGTTGGAGTGGAGTGAATAGAGCTAATGCAGTCACCCCTAATACGGTAAAAAGCAATACCCGAACCTCAACCCGAACGGCTGGAGTGTGAATGGAGTCACACGGAGTGCACGGAGTGAGCAAGCCGAACCCACCTATGGAAGTATTGTTTTGGCGGGACTTTTTTTATTTCAAATTCTGTGTTATTTTTGGTGTAACAAGGTTGGTATCAATTAAATAAAAACTGGTCATATAAATATTGTACAGTATAAACTATCGATTTAAAACAAATTTGGGAAATTTCAGTTCACTTGCAAGTTCCCTATTCCTAAAAACGAGGCTGATAAGCAATCCTGTAAGTGTGTATCATCCTTGGTTTACTGTTTGGTCTTATCGTATTTAACACTCCAAAGAACAGAGCGTTGAAAAGCGCGCATTCCTGAACTCGACCAGCCTACACCAAGGATATCACCCACTACCACAGGATTGTTCATGGGCCTCGATTTTTGGAATCAAGTTCATATGGTGTTGCACTGTGTGTTGCACCGTTGGTGACGTCATCAACGATGTCGTTAGCGGTTTGCGCCAACAGGTGTAGTTGGGGATATAAATTTACCCTAAAAAAAGATTATTTAAATGATCAACATAATAGGCGAAGAGGAAGGGCGCGATCTTTTATTCAGCAACGGATCTATCTGCTGTCAGCATTATGAAACAGACATTCCAATTTTGTATGATCTAGACAAAGAGAGGCTGATTACCGATGGATCCACCGCTGAATAAAAGAAAGCGCCCGAAGATACGAAGGAGATCTATGTTATATATGTGGCAACCATATGCCACTATAGGGTGGATAACGCGCATGCGATGCACTAAATAAATCAGTAAAAGTATTGTGAGTTTCATTGGAAAACCCGCAAAACACTTCAATCTAAACAAGGGTTGAATGTTGAATAATGTACTAAAACTAAATACGCATAAAGCAAAGCCAGTGCGATTGACCAGCGGTCATCTTGACAGATGAGTAATGCAGTGCTACCTCTTCTGACGGAATGAGTCGGTAGATTCTTGGAGAAATAATCGGTAGTTTTCGTTCAAAAATCGGTAGCTAGGCGGTTGCGTCATATGTCATTCCGCCACAATTTTCTTAAGTAGGTATATAAAACTAGTCAATGAATTTAGTCATAATTTTATTGTGCAATGTGACTCCTATTTCTTCGTAGGTAAATCAGGGGACAGTTGAATAATCTGATTATGCTCAGATGTTATGTGTCTTGTGTCATACTCCCCTCCCTCATTATCTAATTCTGGGCCTGCGAGTGACGTCATTACCAGCAGCTTACAGTGATGACGTCACCCGTAGACAGCGATGGAATGCTTAGGATTCAGGCTGTGCTATGAGTTAATTTTTTTGTCGATTTTAAATTTAGAAAAGGTGATTTTCGGTCTGTTCTCACAGAAGAAGTTAAGTGTTCTTGATTCTCGAGTAAACCAGATTTTCTTGCGGAATGAGAAACAATTTTATTTTTTATTTATATATTATTCATACAGGGTGGCCCATCGAAAACAGTCCAGCAAGGTTTTGGGCTTTGTATGTGAAAATTTAAAAAAACCCTCGGACCCGTATAATTTTGTTTTCAGGAGGACATATTTACACATTGATTACATCACAGTAACTTCAACCCCTTAGCGGGGGTGGCATTCACCTTTATTTTTTCAAATGGGGAGGGGTATGTTGTGATACATCTTTTGAGAGGGCATTAAATTTTCTTTAAAATGGCGCTTCATTTTTGAAATTTGTAATATGGGTTGCCGAGAAATTTAATCAAATTAATATTGATTAGTACTTACGTGTTATCTTATTAACTGTTCAAAATGTCCGCCGTTCACCTTCATACAATAGTACAGCAACTATTCAAAGTGTGCTCGGACATTGTGAAGAATATTAGGTGTAATTAGTCGACATTCATTGGTAATACGGTTCCGTTAATCTTCTAAGGATTCAGGCTGGGTGGCGTAAATTTTCGATTTCAGATGTCCCCACAAAAAGAAATCAAGAGGAGATAATTCGGGTGATAGCGCGGGCCATTCGATAGTACCCTTCCTTCCAATCCATCCAGGAAAGTTTTCGTTCAAAAACTCCCGTACAGCTAATGCATAATGGGGAGGAGCCCCACTTGCTAAAATATCGGATTTACTTCATGATAACGTTGGTCGTTTTCCAAAATTTCGATCAGTGCAGGGTTGACGGCATGCTCCAGCAAGTCTAAGTAAGTATCTCCATCCAAATTTCCCTGTATGAAATATGGCCCAATAATGTGATCACCAAAAATACCAGCCCAAACGTTTAATTTTTGAGGATGTTGAGTATGAGCCTCATGGTAAAGCCTTGGATTCGTGTCGGACCAATAACGACAGTGTCGATTAACAGTGCAATTGAGAAAAAATGAACATTCGTCTGAGAAGCAAACATTTAAAAGGTAGTTGGGAGTATGTATAATTATTTCGGACATTATTTCACAAAATTGTAAACGGCGGTCATTATCATCTTCATTCAATTCGTGAAGAAGTTGAATTTTATATGGGTACCATTGATTATGTTTCAGAATTCTCTGTACAGTGGTCCGAGAAACACCTGTTACATCAGGGTCCTAATTCTTGAAACAGGGGAGCAGCGTTCCCAGGAGAATGGGTCTTTCTCAATGATATGCAAATGACTATATAGTTGTATTCCTTATTTCACACCTAGGAGGAGCTCCGGAACAGCTCCGGGGCTTCACGCGCTTATTCCTTTCGAAAAGTGTTTGTTGCACCACCCATATGTTCCCTGCAAATCGGGGGCGACTAAGCACCGAAGCGAGTAGCTCGAGTGTTTCAAGCTCTTGAAAGGAATACAACTTATATAAGTAACAAAGACAGAACACTCGTTCTCCTGGGAACGCTGCTCCCCTATTTCAAGAATAAGGACCCTGAAAGTTTTCTGGTACTCAATCTAGGGTCCATACTCCATAGTAACTTGACCCAGAACCATGGTGCACGTTTCTTTCTGCATGCCTCTCATTGAACAAAGTTGCCGTTACTCTTGCACATTGATTCGTAATAAAATACAATTCAATAATTTCCACTCTCTCCGCAATAGAATAAACCATTTTTTATCGAATGTACACCAAAGAAAATCACAGAAATATTGAACTATCCATATCAACTACGTCACCGAAGATAAAGTTGAATTGTCGACTTATATTTGTTAGTTTAAAAACGATTTTTTGCTCACGAACCTATTTGTAAATAAGAGACGCAGTAAAATGTTTGAATATGTCCCCCTGAAAACAAAATTAAACGGTTCTGAGGATTTTTTTAAATTTTCACATACAAAGCCCAAAACCTTGCTGGACTGAAAACGATGGGCCACCCTGTAGGTATATCTACATATTTGTTGCATTACCAACAAATTGCAGAAAAATCGTGAGTAAATGGTTTAAAATCGGGAAGAGATCGGTAGACTCATTTGAAAGTCGGCAGATCTACCGATAAATCGGTAGAGGTGGCAGCGCTGAAGCAATGCATTTAACGTCAGTTAAGACCAATTGGTAGACAAATGACGCGTAATTAATGGTTTATCTGTCGAGATACCGACCGGTCAATCGTTTAAAATTGGCTCACAAATCAGCGCATCATCTCATCTGTAGTACAAACACCTCACGTCAAGGCGAGTAACAACATGCTGCCTACATCATCACTGGTACTTTAGCGTTATGGGGGGCTTAAGATTTTTATTTATTTATTGGTCCCAACCGAATCGAAATATTTCTCTTAGAACCGTAAGGGAACCGATACTTGCCATGACGCTGTGGACAGGATAACAGGAACGGAGTATTATAAAACTATTTTGACAGATAGCGAAAAGTTAACTTGTGGAATAACTATGGGAAATAACGTCATTCCAGAAGTTAACTGTCAAAATAGTTTTATAATACCCACTCAGTAATATCCCTACTCCACTACTACGTGAGAATGATAACGACGATATTTTCCTGTTCTAAGAGTGGGTATTATAAAACTGCTTTGACAGTTAACTTGAAGTTAACTTTTTGAATTACATGTAATTCCAGAAGTTAACTTTAAGTTAACTCTCAATAAAGTAGTTTTATAATACCCGCCCTAAGAATGACACGGAATCTGCTTATAACCAGATCTCCGTTTACACAGACGCCGTTCACAAATTCGGAGTAGATATTTTACTCGGAGTAGGACTAGTAGGAGCAGATTTTCCCATGTAGAACTAGCCTTGAACTAGCGGATTATTAAAGAGATCATGTGACTTGATATTAGTACTCCTAAATTTTGAGTAACTAGGGTAGTTCATGGAACATGACTTTCTTCATTTATTATTTGTTATTTGTGTTCGTCCAAAGCTTGTGTAACAAAAAGTCACTCTATTGTTGAACTGGGAACAGAAGCAGACTGCACTAAAGGGTTCTGTCTACTCTATGTTACACCATAATCGGTTATCGAACATACGCCTTGTTAGTGCTACTTGTTGATTGCCGCCATTCGCATTCGCATGGCATTCGCATTGACGCATTCCATTCATTCCATTCATTCCGATCCACAGGCATGTTGATTGAATTTTGTTAATTTTATAAATATTTGAAAAACCTCATACTTTCATATTACCGGCATTTCGATTTTCAGTTCCTATTCTCTTCTTGTAATTGAGCTGGTAAGTTTAACCTTTTTTTTAACCAACTAATCAAGGATTGTTTAAAAAATCAAACAAACATCTTTAGCCGGCAAGAGTTGATGGACGAGCTGAACAAGCATCTTTTTTTCAGTTTTTATAGGGGTTCGTCACTTCCCGACTGGTTTCTTTGGGTGATCGAGGACCGTTTTGTCAAAATGAGTGACGACGATTGGGATGATGGCATGACACCACCAAAGAATGTGGTAAATATAAAGTTGTTGTCGTTGTTCTGTGTATGGCTTTATTGCTAGGCGGCTGCCAGCTCGATTGAATACAAGTTTTATTGTTAAATAAATGATGCATTCTAGGTTATGTGTTTAGATCAGTTGTTTGCACATTTTTACCATGAAAGAATTCAGTTTATCAGTGGATAGTTTAGATAATTCACATCTTAACTATAATCATCCACTGATAAACCGGTCCTAAGATTAAGATTAAGAAGAATCTTTTTAACTTTTAGGTCGGTTTTATTCAGTTTCTGATTAATTGTCAGGTGATGCAATCTGACAGATAAAAACGCAATCTATAATACTATTGTCCAGCCAGTTATTTGTCATCCAATAGGATTTTAATTTTTGATCAGAGAGAATTGAAAAGCAGCAAATATGTGAATTAATATTTTTATCACACTCTGGTCCATTGACCCATTGCAACTGTGTATTTCCATATCGTTTTTTTCCGCCCTCTTGACATTGGAACAAAACGCTCATTTCACACTGGCCAACCTATCTATGGATTAGTTAATTTATCTTGTATACAGTTACCAACCAGTAGGTATATATTTAAAGTTAAATAAACCAGGCTTTAGAGAAAGATTTAGGTTCGGTTTATTCATCTTAGGATAAACTAACTGTTTAGAAAATAAGAGGAGTTCAAAATATTTTGACTGGAAAAGCTTATCCCTATCAAGTATACTTAGTTAGTTATATTTATTTATTTATTTATTTCTACTTCCAACAGGCAGCAGCCCAATTTTACAAATATTGCCATAATAATAATATTAATACTAATAACAAACCACATATAAATAAAAATTTTAAAAAGAGTACAATAAATTATTTCTAAATTAAAAAAATTCAAAGGACAACAAAAAACATCCAAAAACAGATCACTAGATTACAAAACAATATCACAATGATAGCTTCATTTGGTGCAAAGACGTAGTACATATGTCCTCCTGTATCTCATTAGCATAAGACATAGCCCAATTAATGGCTGTGTGTTGGCCATAAGAGGTACGATGTCTCTCCAACGAAAAACAGCGCACAGCTCTAAAATTCCTCACTGGGACACTCAAGTTTACAGACGAGAGCAACTCAGGGCAATTCAGATAACCTCTGAGCAACTTAAAAATCAATAACTGATCGAATTTTCTATGCCTATGCTCCAATGTTTCCAATGACAAATTCTGTAAAAGCTGACCATGATTAATAAAATCTGAAGGTATTCCCATTTTGTACCCTATGTATCTCAAGAATTTTCTCTGTACACGTTCAACTAATTCAACATAAATTCTATAATGTGGTGACCACACACAGCTATTCTTTTCAAGATGGGAACAAACCTCAGATTAACAACTAAAAACGACAGATACAACAGTAAACAAACAATTTGCGATCCAACATCCATAAGGTCGATTTTTGCATGAAATGCCCGGTTGCCAATAATCCGATGTGATTTTCAATATTAAATGTTTTCACGGATAATCATTATTCCAAAATATGTTTCAACATAATGTAAATGTTTTTTTATATCAATCTTTGTTGAAACATAACTTAAACGCCTTTTTGAAAATGATAATTAGTCTTTTTTTTAATTTAAATTGGTGAAAATTCTGGAATAACCAGGAATATATGGCTTGAAAAACGTCACATCGGCAACGTTGCATCTACGAGCAGCCAATCAGATGATTTTATGTGACTTTTGGCATCCATTAGGGATTTGGCAGTGTTGCTGGAAAGTGATCAAGCTAAATTTGTGATTTTTTGTGATTTTGAGTGTTATTTTTGGATTCAAAACTATAGAAAGTGTAGTGGAGACAGTAACAATGGTACGTCGATGTATTATCTGTAAGGATTCAAAGCAGAATTCGATATTTCGGCGGTAAGAAATTTGACATCATTTTGCTCTTGACATTGGCCGCCATTGGCGTAGTTAGAGGGTATTTATGGTAATTTATTGTAAACTTTCTATTAGATTCTGGGAAAAATTCAGAGGAAACTTTTTATTTGAGATCTAGAAATTAAATTACAGCAATAATCTGAGTTTTCCTGAATCAATATAGGTAAGTACTCACGATAGGTACATATTCCTCAATAGTTTTATTCAACTTTGGGCCCTGTTTAGCTAGCCAATAATAGTGTATAATTCATAATGCTTATTGCTTAATGCACAATGAATTATTGCTAATCGAGTTGCTAATACTAATTTGAAATTAGTTGTTATTTCACAACAGAAACGAGTTTATACAGCACCTGATGGTTTAATGTTTAGAGTTTAGGCTTAAAAAGGGGATATAACCGTATTTTGAAGTGTTTTGCGATAAGTAGATTAATGTAGAATTGGTTTCAACTCTGAATTTTCAAAATTACGCATTAAGAAGTAAGAATTGTGAGCTTGAACTTTATAAACTTTGACTCTATACACTATTACTAGGTTCTATTATAATTTTTGTTGTAGTTTTCCTGTAAATCTGGAAAGAAGGAAAAAGTGGATTTCCATTTTGGGCTTGGAAAATGCGAACGTACATAAATTTTCCTTCATTTGCTCGGATCATTTTGATCCCAGTGATGTAACAACAATAAGCCTGACTGGAAAAAAAAAGGATAAGGCCAGATGCTGAACCCAGGCTTGCTGCGTTCAAAGATCCATCATCTTTTAGGTAAGGTTGAACTAACATAAAGTATTTTCTTTAAATATCTTTAGTGTATATTATGAATTCATGGATCATATTTTTTTTGTCACTTTTTCTCTCAGCTTTTTCTCAAATTATTATTATTATTATTATTATTTAGTTCGGACTCTACCCTTGTTGAGTTACCTGACAGAAACCCGCAGGAAATCTCTTCTATTCAAAGTAAGTTTGATGTGATATAGAACAGTTCAAGGAGTATTTCCAGGCCTTCCTGCTAGGTACGTTTTTTCATCTCACATTATTATTTTCAGACCTTTGGATGATAATTTTGAAACTCTCGTGGAGCAGCCCAGTGGGTCTGAAATCATTATTTTGCAGTCTGACAGAAATATGGCAGGCCCCTCAAGCAGCCCAGTGAAGGAAATCATAAAAAGGTATCCTTGATGACAGATATCTTTATTAATCTATTAAAAAGTATTGGAGTGCCGTTTTTGATTACTAGATATAATAAATCAAAAATATTTTTTTTTTTTTTGTTAGCAGGGTCAGGGTTGAGCAACATACAAAAAATAAGGATTCTGGTGGATCTACATCAGAAACTGCATCAGAAATGGGAGATATTACAAAAAGGTATTATGTTTTACCCATTATATTTTAATATTTCCTACCTCGACAATAGGGAACTTGACAAAAAATTTAAACATGAAAATATTATTACTATAAATCATAAGAATATATTATGTTAAAACATTATCAGCGAAAAAAAAAAACAATTTTTTTTTTGTCGCAAACGGCCGCAATAAGGAATTAAAAATGCGGAAAAATTCAAATTATTTCCAGCGGAAAAAAACGCGCTGGTACTGGTCGTGACGTCATCTAGTATGATTTGTCAGTGTCTGTCAGCAAACGTCCATCATACCGTGAGTTCGTCTTGAAACACTGAGCGCTCGGAGCATTTTTTGTCTTTTTTCCTTATAATGAGAAGAACAGGTAGGGATAAAAGAACAAAACAGCAGCTCGAACTCTACATAATAAATACCCGTTAGTTGTGTTTATCCACGTTTTTCTCTATTTTTTTAAAATTTTATCATTATTAGAATTGGTTTACTTAGCTTAAATTCAATGATTAGCTCAGCATTACATAAATAAAGCGATATACCTATTAATAGGCATGATGACAGTAATTGAAAATCACTTAAATTGTGTTTTCACTTGATGAAACTTGACTCATGGAATACGAAACACGCATTTATTTTTTTATTAGGAGCCAGATTGATGATTATTTTGATAAAATAAAACTGCAAAATACGAAGGTCCGCCATATTATGTTAAACGCCAATCAGAACGAATGACGTCACTTTTGAGTAAATCAGTTAACAAACGACTGGTTCCGTGATTTTCTTGCGATTTAATTTGCGACACTCAATTTTGTTTATACCGTGTGTTGTTTATACCAAATATTGAATCAAAAGTGAAATAACGCGAGTCATGGAACAAAGATTAAGCATAAAAGAATCAAGAAATGGTAAAACTTCTATCTAAGTATGATTGTTTTTATATTTTTAGACCTCAAACAAGATACATACTATTTTAAAATCTACGAAGTAAATTAAATACTTGCGTTGAAAGGATTTTCACAAAAATAAAGGTAAGTTCTAGGCAATATTGCTATTGAATCTCGCGTTGCAAGTTTAAGCCACTTGTCCCTTATCGTTTTATTTTGTGGAACGAAGGCAAATAACTTTCCAGGAGTTTTTAATGATGTGTTATCACACTGAGGAACCGCACACCACTTGTACATTTTGGAATTCATATTTAATTACACAAAATATCTAAATTATTCAAATTTTCAATGAGCGTTTAGGTTTTGATTACTCAAACGTGACGTCACGAATGACGCCATGACACTGAGAAGCGTTTTGGCGCGAATTTTGAATATAAAAACTAAAATGTAATTTTTTCTACTAAAACCTTTATTATCTGCAGAAATATGTTATTCATTGTGAATAATATACATTTCCGAACATTATAGGATAGTTTTTCAAAATTTGTCATCATGCCTACTGTAATTTGTGATATGTTTATGGTAGCAAAAGTAAGTAAAGTCTGTTTTTTTTTAAAGATAATTTCCCAAGTCAAAAATTTAGTAACTATGTTGGCAACACAAGGCTTTTCTACATAAAAAATTTGAAAGCATTGACAATTTTACATTGTATTGCCAACATAATGTCATTTTGACTTTTATCTTTAAAAAAAAAAACACATTTTATGTGCGAATCTTTTTTTCCATTATAACTTTAAAATTTACAACTCGCTGCAACACAAAACAACAACAAAACAAATAACGGT